CTGACCTTCATAAAATGACCAGGATAGCCAAAAGTTAAGGAGTCTCTGTACTTATGGTTGTTAACGAGAGTTAAGAACTCACTGTCTCTTACAGAGATTGAGAAATTATTAGCAGTAGACGAACTGAGTCATCGACTCCTTGGCATCAGCAGGCTATTCATGCAAGCAGAAGAGACAGACTAACAGAAGAACTTGCAGAACTATACGATACGTTAATTAATGAAATAGAAATGTGATGACAGAAAAAGAAAATTACTGAATATCAGTACTTTCTTATGAGTGTGTGAGGTAGGTTTTCTCTGGTCTCACTCAAGCAAGCAAGAACAGTAAACTGATCAGAAACAGTTGTAGAACTTTGACATGAACTTTGAGAAATAAAACTTTTTTGAGGGGAGTGTTGGGAATTGAACCAGGCCCGTGGGCATTCTAAGGCAAACCTTCCACCACTGGGTTACACTTCCATCTCTTAGGAAAAGAAAGCTTTGAAGAGTGTCTGCCTAGTGTTTTTGTTTATATCCTTGGCGGGAGGGAAACCTTTGCAAAGAAATTGCATATAAGACTTTTTATGGTAAGGTAAAATGCCAGTGAATGGAGATGTTAAGGTAGATTAATACACAAAAAGTTATTATATTGATAACACTGGGACAAGAAAGAAGTGTTTATTTTTTTATGTTTTGGCCCCCAATTTTTTAACATTTTCTGGAATCAAATGATTTAATGCTATCTCTTAATTCTAGACAATGTTTAATTAGGTTGGTCTGATTTTAATAAAGATAAAATATTTTGGGTATATGTAAGTGCAAAAACAAAGCCCATTTAAAAAATACTACCATACATTGTATGCTCTACATTATCACAGTGCTATTATTATCTCCACTTTATAAGTCAGGAAATAAGGACTCAGAGAAACTGACCTGTGGGCAAAACGTCATGCAGTCAGTAATGGAGATCAGATCTTTTTGACAAAGCCCTTTCTCTATGCTTTATCTACTTGTACACGCCACATGGCCTTGGGAAAATTGATAAAATTTTAGTCACAGGCCTGGGTAAATGACCAGCACTTTAGGCTTCCAAATTATGTTTTTTACTCATGACTCTACAGAGTCATTGAAAGAACTTGGAGGGTCAGGGACAGACAATATATAACTCATACCTCAGCCTCTTCGGTTAGTTTCTGCAACTGATCCTTAAACTGCCTTTTCCAACCTGACCCATTCTGAACGCATGTGTCAATGGGCAGCCAAAGAAGGGGAGGAGAGCTGATAGCATCCAAGGAGGGAGCACGGCTAGGAAAAAGAGGTACAAATGGCAGAAGCTCCAGCTATGTCCCTAGTGGGCATGGTCTCTCTCTCTCTCTCTCTCTCTCTCTCTCTCTCTCTCTCTCTCTCACTCTTCGAGTCCTTCATTCATCCTCTTCTGCCCTGATGATTTTTCCCTGAGTCTCTTTGCTTGATACCCCTTTATAGACTGGGAAGTTCTTGAAGACAGAGATTTTATCTGATTTATTTCTATATCCCCATGTCACAGAATAGATACTCAATGGGTTCTTGATGTTAAAGATAATCACAATAGCGGCCTTTCATTGGGTGTTTGTGTCAAACATGGTGGGAGGCCTTTTTCATATATGACCTCACAGAATCATAAATATATTAAAATATTTTGGTTGCAGGTGACAAAATTAAACTGAGATTGGCTTAAGAAAAAAAAAATATGCATAGCGCCCAGCAGAAAGCTTCCTGCTTAATCCAGCTCCAGACTCCATCATGATCTAGGTGACTGATACATTGTTTCTCCTCAAGGTTTAGCTTGGTTTCCTCTGTCTTGCCACTTTTTAACACCTTGTGCTAAGCAATTCTACTATGCTAGAGCATCTCTTCACAGTACACCTGGTAAGGAACCCAAAGCAAACCTCCTGTGGATCAGTGGCTGCCCACTTCCAGACCAGTCATAGGACCGGGATGATTGAACCTGCTAACTGGCCATACTTAGGTAAAGTATCCAGCCCTGAGGTCAGGGAAGAGGGTCAGCCCTCTCAATGTTAAAGAAACTTCAAGGCTATCATTGTCCAGAAAAAGAAACTGAAGCTCAGCAAACAGAAGTGACTTACCAAGGCTTTCGCAGCCAGTTAGTGGGATGGCAGAATTTGAAACCAGCTGTATTTCTCTAAAGTCTGTGTTCCTCCAGGGCAGCAGATGGGTTTCCCTACTTATCCTCCATAACAAGTCCTTTATTCCAGTGCTACTCAAAGTGTGACCAACAGGTCATGATGACCTGCAAATCCTTACTTGTCCTTAATGAGTTAAATACCCAAATTCAGAACAATTTTTAGAAGTATATTATAGTTATTTGACATTGGCATAACATCCAAGGGTCGTGACAGAAAAAGTTGGGTTTGAAGTGAGCTGTAAATAATTTGAGAAGCACTACTGTATTTGGTAATTCCTACAATAAAGGTGTGAACTGTGGGCTTGCAAAGAAAAATATGGTTCTTCAAGTGGAGCCTTCTTCCCAGGGAGGCAGAGTGCCCGTACTGCCAGTCAGAGGTTCTGTCACTCAGCCAGTCAGGAAGACTCCAGGCACTCCACCCCTAGCACAGGTTGCTGCAGCTAGAAAGGCAGGCAGGAGGGCTCAGGCCCAAGCAGCTCCTTTGCCCGAGGCTCTTGATTCTAGTCCAGTTGGATTCTGGATGATTATCTACCTGGAGCACATGGGCACCTGGCACTCTCAACCAGAGGTCCACCCCCTCATGCTTCCACACTGTATGCTGGAGGGAAGATGATGGCTGATGCAGGCCATCCTTAAAAAGCCATCCTAAAACCAGACAGTTTCGTTTCAAGCTGAGGTGAAAGGTCAGCTCCTGGGTCAGGTTGCCAGCTCCTGTCTTAACACTTGAGTTGACTCCGGGGACACGGTACATCTCCTACCTTGCTTCCCCTTTGGTTGGACACTCCTTGATGCTGGTTATAGGTCATCAGAGCAGTTCCAGGCACGAGCATTTCTCAAAGCCAAGATGACTCAGGGTAGCAAGTGTGAACCAGAAGAGAAGCCCTGAAGCCAGTTCAGACCTTTCTGGGGGTGGGAGGCTAGTGATCTCATAGCATGCAGGTGATACTTTCACTTGCCTGTTCTGTTGTGCCAGTTGCCAAAAAAAGGTCCTGATCCCCAGGTAAGCCCAGTTCTGACATTTTGCTGAATAACTCCAGACTGTTCACAAGGCCTTTTGTATCTTAGTTACTACATTTGGAGATGCAAGCAAGTCCGCTTCACTGCTGATTCTCAAGTGCTGTAACCTCATGTGTGCAGGCCCCCAGAGCATGGGACTGCAGACCGCAATGCTTCCTCCCTCTTTCCAGGCAGTGGTGCTGGCTGGTGAAAAGCTTGGCTTGGTTCTTGCTACAGTTCATTTACTTTCAGCTGTGCGACCAGGGGTAGGTTTCTAGGATTTTTTGAGCCTAGGTGACTTCATCTATGAGAAATGAAATACCCACCTGGTGAAACTGGTGATGCAGGAATAGACACAATCAAATATACAGAAGAGCATGGCCTCCTACAGATGTGCCTGGTATACTCATTAATTTCACACATATTCATGACTAGGGACTAGGTCTACTAGGTCAGGCCCTGAGGAGATCAGGAAGCAGACAGCCCTGGTGCCATCCATAGGAGTTCAGTAAGAGAAATGAATTATAAGGCAAACGGGCAAACAGGTAATCACAGAACATAGTGGCACATACTACAAAATGAGGTGCAAAGTACCAAGCAAAAATACTCAAGAGCTGGGTATGGTGATGCACGCCTGTAATCCCAGCTCTCAGGAGACGGGCAGAAGAAAGATCATTGCAAATTCAAAGCCAGCCTAGGATACATAGGTGAGTTCAAGGCCAGTTTGGACTACATGGAGAAGCTATGTCTGAAAACAAACTAACAAACAAACCAAAACCAAAACCAAGATAATTGATTTAGGGAAGTCAAGCAAGGCTTCTCTGAGGCAATGAGAAACGACCCAGTACTTGAAGCATGGGAAGAGTACTTCAGATAAGGAACAGAGTGTTCCTTAAGGTCCTGTGACAGGAGGAACCTCAGGGAAACTGAGTACAATGAAGCCAGTGTGCTAAGAGCGCAGGGTCCAGGGGCAGTGGGTAAGGGGAAACTGGAAAGAAGAGGAGAGGCTAGACTTTGCCAACCTTCTAGATCGTGCTGTGGATTTTAGATTTTGCCACTGATATTTTTCAATGTTGGGGTTTGGACCTAGATCCTTGTGAATGTTAGGCAAGTGCTTCACACTGAGCTACCCTCCCACTGACTGTCATATTTTAAGCAAGGATGGAGTTTCCATGGTCACGTATGCTTTCAGAAAAGATCGGAGGGGGTGCAGCTTGGAGACGTTTGTGCAGCAACACGATACAGGAGGTTGTTAGGAGAGCGCTGCTTGTATGAGGGTGGGTGATGGAGAGTTCAGGAGTTGGTGTTAAGGTGGTGATGGTGCGGATGGAGGTGGGAAAGGGAACTGGGTAACTGAGAAGGTTTGCAGCGTTGGCCCCTGGCTTGCACTAGCATTAGCAGGTGGTGAGGGAGGCGTGGGTTTGGTCCACCACTCTGGTTCTGGACAGATTGGTTTTAAAGTAGTTCTGAGACATGTATGAGGCAAAATTACCTTTCCCATTGGATTCATTCATTGGTACTTTAGTGTTAACACATGACAGAGTGAGAAGCTAGTAAGGGGCATAGGACACTTGGAGGTACCTCTCAATTGTGGCCACGCTTTCCCATACGGTGGAACTTGTCTGACTGTACATTCTATAGAGGTGCAGTTTATGGCACATTACTTCTACCTCCTGGAAGTGCCAGAAAAGGTGAGCAGGAGTGTGGACACCCGGCTGAGCAGAGAGCCCCTGGGAGAGCATGGCAGTGGAAGGGAGAGCAGAGTGGTACGAAGCAGGGAAGGTTGAGGCAGTTGGCTTTTGTTTCTGGGTAACAAAGTGATTTGCTTACCTACCTAGGCTAACAGAAGGATCTGATTAAGAAGGAGAAGTGGAAAATCCCCAAGAAGAGGGGATGATAAGAAGTACAAGATTTCGAAAATTGAGAGAAGGGAGGATGCTAAAATCCAGGTGGGTGTTTGCCTTAGTTGAAAACAATAGCTCCAGGGGTGGGGGATTTAGCTCAATGGCATAAGCACCTGCCTGGCAAGTGTGAGGTCAGGAGTTTGTTAGATCCCTGGTAAAACAAACAAACAAAACAAAACAAAAAAACTGCATGGTGAAACAGAAGGTAAGGGTGCATGTGGGAGTGTGTACATGCATGTCAGTGTACATGCAGGTAGTACATGTGCATGAGTACATATATACACATGAGTGTATGAATGGGAGCAGGTAAAGAATGTGTCTTGCCACTGAAACTGAGGGCAAAAGAGTTCAGGAAGGAGGAGCAGCCCAGAAGAGAGCCCTCACCAGGAACTGAACTAGCTAGTACCTTGATCTTGAGTTGCTCAGTCTCCAGAACAATGAAAAATAAATTTTTGTCATTTCAGTCACTCAAGCACTTCCTCCTCCAGGAAATCACTCATGAAAATATCCACACAACAATCCCCAAGTCTGTCTTCTGCACTCATGTAGATCAAGGTATGGTGGATTAACTAATGAGCAATTTGTAACACCCACCTGAACCAGTCAGCATGGTTCTGGGTGTGGATGGTCCGCCTAAGATTTGTTGGCGACAGTATAAAAACAGAACTAGAGGGGAAGATGGTGCGCTGTTGATTCTCTTGGAGAAGCTTGTCAGCTGGTTTCCCTGTCATGAACTCAGCTGATACGAACTCAGCTGTTCCTCATCACTGGAAGAACTCATGTCCTTGCTATTGCTGACGACGGCGGCTGCTCTCTCTGGGGCAGCTCTGGTCCTTACCTTGAGTGTCACTTCTGGCTCCAGTGCCAATCTCTCAGCCTGCCGGCACAGATCCTCTATCCTGCTGGCACAAACTTTCTGGTTTTCACCAGTGACTTTTGGGCTTTCCCAGTGCAGATCCTTGATATAGACTTGCATGAAACATTGTTGTGAGTTCTAGGTCTTTAGCTGGACTTGTGCAGGACATTGCCATGAGATCCAGGCCCTCAACTGGATTTTTTGGGTCTGTAGTGTGTGGACAGATTTCCTGAACTCTTCTGCATTTGACTCTTTGGTTGAATATTATAAAATAATCCTATAAATTGTGTGTCCTGTATTAAACTTATTTCCTTGAAAATCCTAACACAAGGGTTTTCTCACTAGGTCTCCTCCAGAGACTTTCAGGTAGAGACTGTGAGCATCCACCTATGTTAGGTTTCACAAGGACCGCCCCAATGTCTAACTGGTGTATTTCAGTGTCCCTGGCACCTTGCATATTTTCCCCAGAAGAGAAATTTTATATATATTTGTTGGTTGAATAAATAAAATTACTTTTCTCCAGGTTAAACAGCTCCAGTTCCTATAACTGTACTTCAAAGAACATTGCTCCAAGCCAGCTTTTCTCTATTTTCTTTGCCTAGCATGCCCATTTTCAGTCATAGAATTTTGATTCCTGTGTAAAATGACATGTTGATGTCTATAGCTTGATAAGTTGTCAAACATGCCTCCCACACTTCCCTCTTCTTGTTTCTTCTGCTTTATTTGCCTTCCCACAATTATACCAACATCCTGCTAGAGGCCAAGAAATGTACAAAACCAGAAAAAGGAAAGAAAAGCTGAGACCCCAAAGACGCTGCATGTTGTTCAGGAGCGGCTGGTAGAAGGTGGGGCTGGTATGCAGTCAAACCTATGGAACCAGCAGGACAGGTTGCCAGTCTCCAGGGCTAGGCCATCTGGGGCAGGTGGTGCCTACTCCTCTCTGAGCCTCCTACCATACACCTGTACCTCACAGGTGAAGGGCAAACAAGACAGTGCCTGGGACTCTACCCTATGCGGCGTGCTGGGCCCAGAGTGCTCTGGAATGCTGATTGAGTGTGGAGAGGCAGGGCCCTCCCTTAGGTAGTGAAGGCATCTATCAAAGAAACCAGGCTCAAGTCCCAGCTTGTACCCCAGCCCACCCCAACCCTCAGCCCCCAAGCAGGTAATGATATGCACCTGATAAGGTGGTTGCAGGACTCGGCCAAGATGACACGAAAGACCTCAGAGTGGTGACAGATTGCTCCCAACAAATCTCTTCTCTGTCCCTTCACAGGTGGTGTGAGGTGTCTTGTCAGTGAGGGAAGGTGAGATTGATTGTGGTGAATCATTGTACAGCTCCATCATCATGGAAGGAAAAGGGCTGTGAAGGCCTGTGTGCTTAAAGGCAGGAGGTGCCACCAAGTGTGAGCTGATCCCTTGGTATGCATGCCTGCTTCCCTGCCTCCCCCTTTCTTCATAGTGATTTTTGCTTTACTTTTACTGTGCTCGGGCCTGAACCCAGAGTCTTAAGCATGTTAGGCAAGCACTGTACTCCTGAGTTATACTTTCAGCCTAGCAATGTTGTTTTGGACCTAATGAACTTGCTGCTGGACAGCACTTAGAGTGGTAGTACTTAGCCAATAGTAAAATATTAAATATTTACCGAGCGAATAAATGAACATTAGGCAATAAAACTCAATCTTTTTTCTTTTAATTGGTGGAGCCAAGTCACCTATCATTTTGCACTTGGGAATACTTTAAAATTATAAAATATGCTGGGTGTGTGGGCACATGCCTTTAAAGCATTCGGGAGGCTGTGGCAGGAGGATCGATGTAAATTCAATGCCAATTTGGACTACATAAGCAAGTTCAAAGTCAGCTTGCTGTACAGAGTGAGACTCTGTCTCAAAACAAAACAAATAAACAAAAAAATCCAAAGCAAATAAGTAAGATAAAGTCACAAAATAAGAAATAAGTACACATTAATTATAGACAAATACTTAGAAAATATGGTTGATGAAAAAGAAAAAAATAATACTTTGGTACCATCCTGCCGTCCAGCCATAACCAGTGATGTTGATAATTTGCTGTCTAGTTCCTTGTGGGGATTCTGCTGAGCAAACCCACTTAAATATCAGCAGAAGGGCTGGGGATATAGCTCAGCAGTACAAGCACCTGCCTGGCAAGAGCAAGGTCCTGAGTTCAATTTCCAGTATATCGGTAGAGGCAAATCATTTGGTAATTTGCTTAATTTTTCTTTTTACTTAATGATAGATAATTTTTCTACTTGTGTCACTGAAAAAAATTCTTCTAAACATTTTCCCATATATTTAAGCATATATATAGTGATTACTCTATATTGTTTTAAGTGTTTTATGTGTATTAACTAATTAGATTTCTATTAACGGCTTATGAATTAGGTACTATTGTATCTAAATTTTATAAATTGAGGCATTTAATCATGAAAAGAGTAGAGTAAGTGACTTGTGTAAAGTCACACAACTAAATGGCGGGACCTGATTACAACCCAGTGATACAACGCTTCACTTTTACACTGTGTATCTCTAAGTGCTCAAATAAACATTCTCCTACAAACTCTGAGCACATACGCTTAGTTATTTCTTTGTGGTAAGTACTTTGATGTGGAATATAACTAGGTAAAAGGATGTGAATCACTGACTGGTTTTATATAAACTGTTTCAAATCATTTGCGGCTCTTGAGCTCTCCAGTCTGATCCTCTGTCTTCCACACTGAGCAGCAATACTTACCCGATCAAAGGACTCATGTGTATGAGCAAACTAAGTATTCTGAAGGAGTGTTCTTCTGCATTCTGGACCTGTTGGTCCCCACCGCCAGAAGCCTTCCTGATCTCTAAAGCAGGGGCTCCATCCTTGGTGCTTGGATTTCTTCTATGAAGCTGGCCACATGTAAGGTGGCCATCTCTGTCCAGTGCTTTGAGCTTCCAGATTTGGGACCTGCTATCAAGGCATCTGTGTGCTCAGTCCATCAGTGGCATGGAAGTACCCTGGTGCTTCTGTTTAACATATGACTGTGTCCATAAACGGGGGTGCACGTGTGAGGACAAATGAGTCATAAGAGCTGACACTGGACTGGTTCTAGACACTGCTCTCTGCTGTATGCCCACACCCAACATAATGCTTAGCCTATAGCAGATGCTCAAGAATATTATTTGATGGAGTTCAATAATCATTTATTGAATGAGTATATATTTGGGAGTCTTTTATTCTTCAAGTATAAAAGCTCTGCCATGTTTCTTATTTTTAAAAAAAATACAAAAGCATAAAAAAGAAAATAAAAGGCTGGTGGTACAGCTCAGTAGCACAGTGTCTGCCTGCCAAGTGCAAGGTCCTGAGTTCAATTCCCAGTACAAAAAAAAAAAAAAAAGAAAGAAAAGAAAAGACCCAATGCAAACCCTGATAAGTAACCAATGTTAGATATGAATTCTTTTTGATTTTTCTCTATGCAAAAGTAAATGCACATTTTAAAAACAGACTTTCTGTCCTACTGCAAACTCACTCAACCTGCCTTTTCATGTTAATTAATACACATGCTTCTGCTACAGGATGGCCAGTGGTGACCGTCTTCTATCTTGTGGCAGTGTCCAGTTTATATGCAATTATTTTTATACCAAAGTGCTCACTGTCCAGCCAACTAAGGAAGTGTGACAGGGTGATTTGTTCTTTGCCAAATTTCCTGTAATTTTATTATTCCTTTTATAGTTTTTTAAAAGCAATCATTTAAAAATTCATTTCAACAATTGTGTCTACACTGGGTATTGTGGTGTATGCCTGTAATCCCAGCACTCAGGATATTGAAGCAAGAGGATCACCAGCAAGTTCGAGTCCAGCCTGGACTCCACAGGGAGATCCTGCCTCAAAAAGTTAAACAAACAAATATATGTGCAACTTTGTCTCCCAGAATTCAATTTGGCCAGAAGTTAAAATGATTAGAACGATATTTTAAATTCCAACTTATGGATAAGAAATCATATAATAGCTGCAGGGACTTGGCCATTGGCACAACTTTGAGAGAGGCTACACTCTGACCAGCTCCAACGGGAACTACAATTTATTAATTATCTGAAATACCACTAATCTTGTATTACATATATACACCCATTTCAGATATTTTGGGTGAGTCATCATCAGTGTCATTTGGGGTCTGGTAAGCTTGGCATACAGAATATATTAAATAACAATACTATGTGACTTACTGCTCTTGTTGGAAGGAGGGAAAATTGAGACCCAGAGGGGTGAAGAGACTTGCCTATGCTCACACAAGTAACAAATGGTACAGCTGGAATTGGAACTTTTATTGATTGATTGATTGATTGAGACTACCATATCGTTTAGGCTGAACCCAGGCTGCCTGACATCACAGCAATCCTCCTGCCTTAACCTCCTGAGTGCTAGGATCTCAAGTATGCAACACCACACATGTTTGAGATTGGAACTTTTGACCAAAGTGCCCACTTGCCTTTCAAAGTGTCAGAAAAGTTAAGAGGCCTGTTCAAAGTGTCACTTTTTACACTGTTCCTCCAAGCAGTCTTACGGAATTTTCCAGGACTCTGGGGCTGAAAATGACCTCTATGATCATCAGATGTCTGACGGAGATGACTAGGACAGCAACATCCTGAGTGTCAAAAAAAATCACCCTTAGTGCCCCTAAGGCCAAGTAGGTAAGACACAAGAATCCCAGGCTGGGATCAGAAATCTTTCTGCCGCACACCCATCACCAAGTCCCAAGCACTTCCCTCCCTACCCTTCCTGCTCCTTAAGCCCTAGGGGAAGGACTTGTTGCTATCTGCTTCAGGAAGCCACACACAGAGACAGTTCCACACCTTACCCTGGCCCTTCCTCTCCCCTCCCTTCCAAATAAAGAAAGTGAAGTAATAATAATTATCATGATGATATCTCCCGAGGGTTTATTATTATATGCTAAGAACTTTTCATCTGTTGCCCCGCCTCATTAATCTTCTGAGAAGCCTCTAAATTTGGCAAAATTGTTGCACCTGTTTGACAGAGGGGACTCTGAGGCTCAGAATGGGTTAGTATAGTATTTGCTTGAAGCCCTGCAGGGAAGGGGACCTGCACTGGACCCTGACCTGCCTGACTGAGCAGCCTCTGCTCTCAGTCACTCACCCATACTGAAAAGTCAGTGTTGGTCCTGGGGGTATCACGGGCAAAGAGACTCAGAACGACCCTGCTTCGGAGCTGGTGGGAGGAAGAAAGAGCATGGAAGCAGCGTCCGTGGTGTAATTCTGGGTTGTGGTTTGTCCTTGGTCTTCGGGATGATTTGGGGCAGATTACCTACTCTCTGAGCGCTGTAAGAGACTTCTTTGGAACCACTGGAGAGAGGCAAAGGTGCCCAGCCAGCTCTGGGCTGTGTGAGGCTGACAGGAGGAGGAAAGCAGGTGGTAGGGTGGTCGCCCAATGTCATGTGAGCCTCTGGGTGCACCTGGCTCCGCTGCCAGCTCTGTGGCCTCAGCTCTCTCTCCCTGCTAGGTGAATTTATTTCAAGTTGACCTCTATCCAAAATTAAGTTGCAGTGAGAACAACACTGGAACAAAAAGTAAGTATGCGCGAAGTATTTCTTTGAAAAAAGAAAGAGAGCTTTGACTTCTCTTGGAAAGTCTGGGGTATGAGTTCTCTAGCAGAGCCCAGCTGGAGTTGGGCTACGGCCCAGATCCATTTCTCCTCTGGTCTCAGTCTTGCAATCTGTAAACTGAGGGTATTTTTTTCACACAGCCCAACTGACACACTTGCGCTTTACACACTCTTCATGGTTACTAAAGTCATTGTTACTTCAATTCTTGTCCTGGTGCCCTCAAAAACCCACCTTGCTGTCAGGGTCTCCAGGTCCAGCTTGGGCAAGGACATAGGGATGGGGGGCCAGGTGGGCAGAGGATGGAAAGGGGCACAGAGCCACAAGGACAAACTGCTCCCGCCTTGGCCCTACATCCTCCTCCCAAGTGGGGTGGGGGCTTTGGCCTGAGATCAGAGATCCACCCGCGTCAGCCCCGGGTCCTGCCCGCGTCAAGAGGCGCCTTCTCAGCACAGAACAATGCAGGCCCTTTGAAGGGCCGGGCAGCAGGGGATGGGTGTTTCTCCAAACACAGGGCCTCCTTTGGAAAACAGGCTTTGATTCCCAGGCTGGGAGGCCCCAGGTGCCTGTTTGGGCAGCAGGCGGGGGCTGGGGGGTTTGTTTGACAGGAAGGGGGGCCTTGGAGACTCAGGAACAAAGCATGGGACGGAGCTGGATGGGGTTGCAGTTGGCCTGGGCAGGTGGTCACAGTGGAGATGCCAGTGGGGGTGGGGCTGTGTGTCTCTGGCCACCCCACCTCCATCCTGGTCTCCTTTCCCAGTGGCTCTGACCCTCTCATGTGTGTGGACGGCGCGTGCTGAGGGACTTCCAGGCGGTCCTCGTGGTTCATGGGCTCCAACATTTCCTGTTTGGGAATGAAGTGGGTAAACTTGACAGGCAAGGTGGAGAGAGTCTGAGCTCAGAGTCACAGGTCTGTGCTCCAGGACTCAGGGCACGGGAAAGGCTGGAGATGATGAGGGCTGTTCCCTTTGCCTGGACACTGTGCTGGGTATTTCGCACACATGTGTTTCTCATCCCACACTAGTTTTCTAACCTGTCCAGACAGACATCTCTGAAGACCTCTTTGCTGTTGTCCCCTTACTTACTCCCCTGAGCTGCCCATCTTCTTTAGTTTTCAGAGGCACTGGCCTGACCTCTCCAGCTGGCTGTGCCCTCTTCCCAGGGTGCCCTACATGGCTGCCCCTCGCCTCCTTTGTGTCAGGGCTCACCTCCCACTTCTTTCTGAGCTTCCTCCCACCTTCCCCAGCCCCTGAATTTCTTTGTTTTTTTTTGTTTACCGGTACCAGGGATCGAACTCAGGACTGTGCACTTGCAAGGCAGGCGCTTATGCCACTGAGCTAAATCCCCAGCCCTAGCCCCTGAATTTCATTTCACCTACTTTTTCTCACAGTGCTTCTCACCTCTTCACATGGAATTCAGTTACTTACTTAGGAGGCTATTTATTGATTTTCTCTCTTGACCACAGGCTAACTCCACTTTGCCTGGCACCTTGACCAATTTCACTTACTCATATGTAACCCCAAGCACCTAAACAGTGCCTGGCACTTGCAAGGCTGATTTTGTGTCCTCTGGGATGTGAAATGTTCAGTTAAACACCTGTCTAGAGTCTGTTATGAAATTAGTGATGGATGTGGCTTGCATTTATAATCAGTTGATTAAGAAAAGCAAATTAAGCTGGGCGTGGTGGCTCATGCCTATAATCCCAGCACTTGGGAGGCTAAGGCAGGAGGATTGTTGTGAGTTTGAGACCAGCCTGGGCTACAAAGTGAGTTCAAGGCCAGCCTGAACTGCATAGAGACTCTGTCTCAAAAAAAAAAAGAGAATTAGCCTCATACCATAGTGTGGAGGTGGGCTTCACCCAGCAGTTAAAGGTCTTGAGAAGAAAGATGGCGTGTCCTGAGAAGGCTGCAGTTCTGACCTCAGAATTCAGAACCTACCTCAGAGCCCTGTCTGAGT